TCACTTTGGCCAACGGTCTTTAGAACAAACTGAGTGAGATTGCTTGTGATACTAAATTATTCGAGTTAACTACCTGTATCCCTGTGCCAGTAAAATTGCATGAACCAAGTCAGACGGGGGATGGGGGGAGTTGTAGATGACGGTGCCCTCAAAGCAACGGGTCACACATTTTTAGTTGTTCAGCGACAAAAATGAATCTCTCGTATAGGAACAGCTCCTTGTGTTTTCTATATCCACGAGAATATGACACCTGTGAATGTATGAATTTTCAAAAAAAAATCAATGTATTGAAAAAAAATCTAAAAAAAATATGTATGCATTATCTTTCTTATGTGTGGTTACAAGTCTCCTGTGTGTGAATTGCAATTAAATGATAGCGACTTTCCCTGCGTGAAACTTCAGATCTAAGACGCTTAACAATTTCTATGTGAGACATGGCGACAAACGAAGTGCAGCCAACCAAATTATTGCTGTTCCTGCTTTCTTGCTTCATGTTTTCATGATTCATGTTAAGTATGAATTTTATGTTCATCATAAATTGATACCAGACTTGTCTTCGGAGCTCCAAACAGGCATTTCATTTACCGTAAAAAACTCACCAATAAGAAAAAGAAAAAATGTGAAAATTTTGCTTAAAATAGTGCGTAGGTATCTAACTAGTATTTAAAACGCTAGAGGTTCTTATATGTGGGTAAGTAGACTGCTTAATGGGACATGAATTAACGATGAATCTAGCATATATACAAATGGTCTGTTCTTTTATTTAACTTGTAAAGTCTGCGTAAAAATAAATAGTTAAGATTTTAACATATAAAAATTGGACTTCAAACTGATATGGATGTTTTATTGTTGATGTTTTATCTCAACATCTCCTCAGAAGGTAATGATAATTTTAATCGACTATCATCGCGATACAGACGTTGCGTGTCTCATTTATGATAACACATATATTATTATAAAATATTTGTAAGTCATTAAAACATACAACAGAAATTAATTCGTTGACAGTGGGGCTCAGACGTTCTTTTCTACATTGGGATTTGTGTCACACACGTGATCCGACTTTTTACCTCCATTAAAAGAGCCATAACTTCTATTTCTGATCATTAAAGTGTTAGGGAATATTTGTGTTAGGCTGTGACACCAGCATATTTCCAGATGCCGCAAGTCACAAACTATTTAAGTGTGTGTGTGAGGGGGGGAGGGGGCAGTCTTGTCAATTTTTCTTATCAAAAGTTGTTTTCTTGTTCATTTATATTATTATGTGTATTTTGGGAGTTCACCTAAATGTATATAAAAATTAAGCATAACTCGTATTTTCAAATTGCTAGGACGGAATTCCAAGATGCCAATCCTAAATTTTGAGTTACGCGTAGGCTACTAAGTCGACATTTCAAAATACACGTACATGTAACCCGAAATTTCGAGACACTTACGCGAAATTTAAAAATGAAATCAAACCAAAATTTTCCCAAAACGCTTCAATACGTATGTATGAAATGCATATGTGGGTTACATGTATAAGAGCATGTGTTGGTTCATGCATATTCGTATTTCAAGCACAGGTATCAATATAACCATGTGTACTTCAGTCTGCTGATAACGGAAAGGGTTAAAACACTTCTTTGAATAGCCTGGCTGCTATTCATGTTAAAAGATAATTTTTCTTCTTTCCATGTTTGCCTTCTAGCATTTAGAGTCGACCCTTGGGTCAACTTCTTCAAATAACGTCTTATCTGAAATACGATAACATGTCAGAGCTTCGGCCTATATAGTGTTCTGACGAAGACACCGAAGATGCCGCACTGCGTACGCGTCATATTTCGGGCGTCTAGTTTGCGTGATTTACGCTTTACACAATGATAAATAGGCAATCCATATATCTGCCAGTGTACCGCCCACCTGAAGGTGTAGACATGTATTATGACGATATTTTCAAAGCAACGTATGTTTTAACTTAAAAGTAATCATTTGATATACCAATTGACAGGTGTAAAGTCGGGTGTGACCATTTCTTATTTGGTATGTTTCCATGGACATTCTCAATGACACTGGTTTTAGTATCAATAATTTTATCATCTTTACTGTTTAATAATCAGTTGTCTGATTTTTTTTTTTTTTTTTCGTATTTTGATATGACCTCATACACTTGCGACTTTACCTGTAACGTAGTGTAGTTCAACTTGTATATAACGCTAGATTCAGATCGGGATCTTCAGTAATAGGCCTACATGTAGTTCCATCTTTAAGGTGATAGTTCTTTCAGTAAGGCACGTGTACAGTAGCTAGGGTCAACTGTAATGAGAGGTTGCCTCTAAGCAAAATATTTTTTTTAATCGATGACCAAGATGGAGCCCGAGGTACAGAATTATTCACAATTAACGTTGGCAAATGATCGTTCAATTTCCAAAGTAAATATGGGCTGGATTTCGATCACTATCATGATAAACAATGTCGTCCCTAATATTACGAACATTTATTTAACATATCGTCATGCATCTCGCTACTTTTAGTCTATTTTTTGAAATTTCAATTGAATTTCTACCACGTCAGAGGTAGAAAGATATGTTTGTACATACTATAAGATAATTGAACGCTTTCAATGACAGCGATAGCGATTTTTTCCCTTGGCTAATAGATTATGAACTGCAGCTTTTAAGATAAATCTCTAAAAGCACCATTGGGAATTTTAAGTGCTTAAAATGTAGCTTATTGTCATTTATTAAATGATTATAGATTTATAGATTAAAGCTTAAACCTGTGAACTGAAAGACTATTTAATAGTAATAAAATTCTTTAATGGGTTTATCTGGTGCAGCGTGAGAAGCCATCCTCATATCAAACAGTCCTGGACGCGGATCGTTCTTCGGGAATCATGAAATTGTTGCTGATTCAAATGGGTCGCCGCATGGAAGCAGTGGAATTGGGATTTCTCACCAAACTGAAAGCGCGCAGCGGCGCTCCTATGCTGCACTTACATCGCCGCGATTTAAAAAAAAAATCATCACTATGTTATATGACTAAGATTCAAACTTTCAAAAAAGACAAAAAAGAAAAAAAAACATCAAGATGGCTTTCAACACAATCCCATTTCCTGGAGATACGATGTTCTCTGAGAGTGCACACGGCTCTGAGAGCGTGACACCCACCCGGCGTGAATCGTGTTACCGAGTCACTTCAGGGTAGAGCCTTAGCTGCACTCTATTTGACATGGTCAATACGTCAATATAACACAAGATAACACACATCTTACTTGTCTACTGAACTAAAACATCAATATGCAGCGTAAGTCAACAACAGTTCAAACCAAGACCTTTATCATGGTAAATTTTCAAGATTTTACCAAGCATGAACAAATTTAAAAATTAGCATAATTTCTAATTAGCACTATTTCTTTCCTACCGAATGGAAGGTATTTTCTTGTCAAAGCTCCTCAGTTAATGATGAGACTGTTATGTTATTCGTGTCAAAATTTTTACAGAGCTAGTAATTGAGATATTTATGTGAATGCGCCTCTTCAGGGCGCTGTTCAAGGGTAAAAAACAGCTGTCAAAAGACGTTAAGAAGAGTAATCATTCATATTCTTGTGGCTTACATTCTCCGTATTCAGCTGAAAAAATGGTGAAATGATTAAAGATAAAAACGTGTGAGTGTAGAACAAAATCCTCCAGCGATAACCGACATTTTTTCTTGGTAGTGTCCTACACTATAGCATGCGTAATAAGATCGCAAATCAATAAGATGACTTGTGGAAATACAACAAAAACAAACCACAGAAAACCATGAAGTTCCTTTTTCTTTTTTTAAACTGAATGTATCCTGAGTTGGATTTTTAATTGCTTACCTTTAAGTAAGGTTGTAATCTCTTTGAGGAACAATATTTATAGACTACGGCAGGAAGTAGATGGAGATTTTCATAAAAGTAAATTTTTTTCTTATTGATTTGTGATCTTAAGCATGCTACACTGTAGGACGTTACCAAGAAAAAAAGTCGGTTATTGCTGGAGGATTTTCTACACACGAGGAAAAATAATTGTTTTTCTGATGATATCAACCTCTCATTTGTAAATGGCATGGGTTACATTCTTTTTTCTTGCTGATTTCACCCTTAACATACAGTATATCGAACCCCAACATTTCATTGTACCTCGAGGTAGTTTGCTCAGAGCATATTTAGTATTTCAGGTAAATGTACGTCTGCAAACGTTAAGAAAAGTAAAGTTAAACCAGCAGGCACTAATATGTCTTAGATAGATATATATACTTTGATTTAGTTCATGTACTTTCACCGGTAGATCAAAATGGTCCGCAAACAAACTCTCCCTGGTTATGTTAGCGTTCGGGCTATTATGATTTAATTTAATGCGGCGTGTCAGGGTGGTGACCCTTTACTTTTCTATGCCCAAATCATATAAGTGTCTGCCCGAACATTAAATGTACAGGTAGATGTGTACATAGACCTATATTTGTATGTCACAGGCACAATGACATTTCTGTTTCTCTACTGCACACGCGAGATCAAAAGCTCTATCACGGGACAAAGAAGAAAATACCTGTAATAACATAAACTCTAGGAAAAGTATCAACTACAGTGTAGGTGCGTTGGGGGAAATTCAAAGAAATGGTTTCCTGGTATCAGTATTGTTGCTGGTGTATCTATCATGCTGGTCTTTGTGCACAGTTAGAGTGCAAATGAAAAATTTAAGATACACATCATTTAACGGGCAATATATGTATAAATAGAAATAATACATGTGTGCGTTTATGACCCAAATGCATATATTTTATATTTAACTTCTAGGCAACGTGATAAAACAGTTTTTACCAGCATACAGCATGCTCCCATTTTTCTTTCATTTATTTGTAAAAAATACAGAATGTCACTACGTATTGATCAATTTTTTTATAAGTGTTATAGTTTGATAAATTTTCTAGGCGATCTAAAAATTCAAATTCACCCACTCGTGAAAAATCCATACGAAATTCATTCGTCTTTGAAAGAATTTGAGTGCCATAACATGGTTTCTGCGATGTAATAATCGATTGGCGTGGTATTACAGCTTACTAAAACAAGTGCGCTGGTTTGTGCCGACACGACTGGGTATTGACCTACGGTTTGGCGGTGTGAAGCAACTGTTCACGCAGTCTGCGCTATTAACACTTCACATTGGACGAGGTCCAGACTTAACCCTTTAAATCTTCTTTATATAACGATTTTATTCGTGCGTTCACAAATTGAAATTTGCCACGATGATCATGATGTATCAAGATCCACACCACAGATGATTTACGTTTGCTGTTTTAAAATCTAGGTCGCCGACTTGACGAGGTGGAACGCGCTCGAAATGGTAATTAACCTGCCATTGCAGAGCACCTTGAGATTCCATAGCATCACGGGTGTCCCGTCGAAAAATTAACCCTTTGAACGGTCGATGACATATCGCCTGTATCACGGGAATTTAGTGGGTAATTGTGGGTCACAGATGGAACTGACGGAGTGACGTCACGCGAGATTATTATGGGCTGTCGGCTCTGCTAAGCTGTAGGGAAATGCAATATTTAATCTCCGCATACGTGAGCTGAATAGCACATTGATATACATACCACTCTCTCACTCGCTCGGCATGGAGCTCTCTCAAGTCGGAGACCAAGTGTTCGCTGCGGAAAGCATTTTAAAGAGAAGGATTCGTAAGGTGAATAATTTATACCAGCATCTCTTAATATTGGATTTAAGCCATAGTGGCTATAACAGCGTTAAAACTGCTCGATTTTTCGTTGCAGGGCAAGGTGGAATATTTGGTGAAATGGAAGGGATGGAGCTTAAAGTAAGTATCGGGCGAAGGGGAGTTTCTCAACATTTACGGATTGTCCCCTCGACCACTATGTACCAGATGAAAAAAGAATCCTTCTTCTTTCAGACACTGCACATGGGAACCGGCAGACAACATTCTGGACACTCGGTTGTTGGAGAATTTCAGGCAACAGTTACTGAGGTAAGTACGTCTTATTCAATATGGCCGCGCTACGATTTCCCAGTCTGTCGGCGTAAACTGCACGGCAAGTTTTATTATTATTTCTTGTATCTTTTCATGAATCCTTCTTGTTGTATTTTTAGAGAACAAGAGAAGGGCTCGCCTTATAAACGCAGGGGTCGAAAACCCAAGTGGTTACTTGATCAGGTGAGTATTAATTCGTTAAAGCTAGTCGGGGTCTGTTATTTGTGGTATATTTTCAGTTTAGCTCGTGACCTGCCTTTATTTTCGAATTGTTTCTCTAAAGTGAAAGCTTCCTGGTTGAGGTAGACTACAGTAAAGGAGAGTTTAAATTGTGTACCATCTTTTAAAATTGCAGCAGGCCCGACAGCGAGCGGCTGAAGGACAGCAGAAACGAAATTCAGAGAGCGATCAGGGAATTACGCGTCATGATAATAGTGGCGGATATGCAGGTGACCTGCTAACAGCAGACGACACTTTTAGCTCGCGAGCTTTTAGTAGCGATAAATTTTTAAGAGAGGGAAAAAATACCACGACTTCACCTGGCCAAGCAAGAACAGGGTACAACCTAGCCCTGCCCCGTCGAAAAGTGGGCCGGCCTCCGAAAAATCGACTTCAGATAAAAAGACCACGGGGACGCCCTCCTAAAAATGCCAACACTTTTTCTGGTGTTTTTTCATCGGTCAAGCAAAACTCAGGGCAGAATTTCGACAAGACATATAATTTAACGCCAGGATTCAGTGGGGCTTTCTCAGATAAGGGAGTGCCATCGAACGTTGGGGTGAGGAGGCTTTCCCCCTGGGGAAAAACTCAGAGCAGCGGGGGTGTCTTGCCCCGAAGTTTTTCCACAGGGATATTAGATGAGGGCGATTGCATAGAGGAGACGTCATCTGTGTCCTCTTGTTCCACAGTGTCCTACGATGGTTACGATGACGTTAATTGCCAAAGCGTTGACGCATCATTAGATCTGAATGTATCCCCATCCAAACAAAATAACGAAATGCACGAGAATTGTAGTACATCGTTACAATCCACGTCATTAACAACAAACGGAAATAGTGTGACTGCTCTCCCGAAGAGTCGTTTCCTAAGAAATATTGGTGATATAGAAGATGAGAAAAGCTTGGGTAAAAAACTCCATTGGCATCCCTCTGCTGAAGTGACGTCAACTTTGGATTACGTATTCATCACTGACGTTACGTCACACCACACGACTGTGACGTTCCGAGAAAGCGTGATCAAAGACGGATTCTTTAGAAATCGTGACGGAGAAGACATCGAAAAGTGAAATTAGTGTGGGAAAATTTTGTTTTAGAAATAGAAGCTTCCTAATTTCAAACGGAGGCATTATTTTCTTCCTTCTCTTGGTCTGGCTTTTGGTCGAAATTAGCTCGCTTTTCGTTCAAATTTTTTTTACATCTCCTCTTATTTAAATTTTACACCCGCCCTGGCTAGTTTTCTGCTAGATAGGGCCTAAATAAACACACACATGATATATACAGTAAATATATATTTGTAACGCCACTAGGGGCGATAGGGTTTCTTTCTAAGCCAGCTCAACCACTGTCAAATTATGCTGTGAATTTTGCTTGTTCGATCAAAGACCACTTCAGAGTATAAGTTACTTTGAGTTCGTGTGCCGGGGGAAGTTCCGCATGTTGCGAGAAAAAGTGGAAGCCTCGAAATGACCAGTAAATCAGTGTCTACAATGTGAAACTACTGTACAATGAAGGATATCTTATTCCATCGCTCTGGTTATTTCATCGGGGGTTTATTTTCCAATTTATGGGAATTCCACGACGAAAACATTGTCGGTGATCCAAGACGCCATCACCGTCATATAAACAGGGTAAACCATGATCATTCTTCTGATATATATATATTTCGTGACTTTGTGGAGGAATGCATGCAACCGACCCTAGTGAATTTTTTTAATCACCAAGCACCAACAATATTACCTATTGGGGATAGCGTTATTATTTCACTCCTCAGCGCCGTGTATGTGCATTTGTAACTGCGCTTCTGTATATAAAACACTTATTTATAACTACCTGTGCAAGGATGCACAGCTGATACGGACGATATACTTTGTAAACGGCCATGGATATGTATACCCTCACGTTTTTGTTTTATTGCACACAATATGCATAGGGGAGTTGCTTGAAGGGGTTACCTGAGTACATATTCAGAACGGGTGTTTAACTTTTGTTGTAAAAGGGGGGTTTATTTTTTCATATATAAATTAGGTTCTTATCCGGGATATTATCGTATTATCATGTTTTGTTGACTTTGTCATAACACTGTATTGTATCCAGTCGCCTGATGTTCGCATGACGTGGGAAATATGATCACTCTTGTAAATACAATAGGTGTGCGTATGTAAATAGAAATGTATATGGCACATCGTTAAAAGTCTCTCTCTCTCTCTCTTTCTCTCTCTCTCTCTCATGCAACTCTAGTACTAGTCTTATTTCAGAAATAGAATTTAAAGATAATATGATAATTATATTCATAATAACAACTAAGTCAAAGACATTGGGTGAGTGTGAGATAGCGTGAGTGAAAGTTGAATCATTTTTTTACCTCTGTGTTTTAATTTCTTAATGAAAACGACAATTATAGTATAGGAGGAAGAGAGGGATGGCGGAGAAAAAGGTGGACAGGGAGTAAATTAACACTGTTATATCGTATATCCTGTATATTGTATATCTCGTCATTTTCACTTAAGTAAGCCAAACAATTCGGTAACAGCTGCACAAACATGTAATTTGTACCCATGAAAATTGCAGTCAAAAGCATAGAGGGAAAACGGCAGTTTTGCATTTAACTTATTTTCTGGCGCTTTCAAAGCCATTTTTCAAGGCAAATGAGAACTAAAGATTGCTTTTCTTCCCTCCAATCCTCCAATAGTTCGATGAACATTTAGAGCATCTTCAGCAGGGAATGAGGTTATCCAGGCAAATAGCCTCTATCCCAAAGATATACTTCTGAGAAGATGATCTAGATTATATTGGAGGTAAACAACTATTTCAATACTACATGTAGCTGTTGATTATAGAAAAATTCACTGCTTTATTTGTTACATAACATGTACATTTGATGAAATTCTTTTCTGAAATACGGACAAATTCGCACAAAATCTCCCCAATGCAGGGGCGGATCCAGAGGTATTTTCTGACAGTCTTCCAAATTATCTTTCTTGATCCATCCTCTATTTTGACCGTCTTCCGACAGAAAACATTAGATACCAGTCAATGTAAACTTGAAAATCTGACCATCTTCCGGAAGACCCAGAAGATGGCCTAAATCCGCCCCTGCAATGAGACAATTGATAATCCAATCAGCTTGATCGCTTACATTACCACATCTCCCCTTCGCATTTTGTCGTGCATGCCCTAGTACTTTGCAGATTTTCTACAAATACCGGTAACTCCATTTAAGCATTTCGTTTATGAGAAACTGAAGTCCTAAATTTCAATCGATTTCAAGATTCACTTCATTGAGTCAAAGATGTTAATTGTAACAGTCTCAAATTCTTGTCAGTAATAAAAAAACTCACTGACCGATCTATAATAAGGGTTTAAAGATATTTGTCTCGTTAATGTGAGGGGGAAGAAAAGAACTAATTCCATACCCTTTCTGCTTTTGGTTGTACATGTAGTTGCGATGCTTATATTATCTATAATACTCTTTCTGATATTGAATAAGAAAAGAAAAACATGGTGTTATTAGGCATAAGTTAAAACAGGAATCAGCTACCAAAATGGGGAGCTTCTTCTTCACAGGTCGGCATCTGAAATCGGTGTCAAATGTATTCATCAATCCTTGCAGCGTTAAAGCGTGTAAATCACAATCGACAACTGAAATATATAGAAAATACAATATAAAACAGCATACTGTAGCGATTGCGTTCATTCTACGCTTGTTGTCGCCATAAAACTTTTTATGTGAGCCCTGTGCTTGTGAATAAATACAACACCAGGATTCATAATCACGCAATAAAATGCTTTAGTTTCGCATACACACGCGTGAGCAGCTACACGAAGCCGGCCAATTTGATAGATTACATTATTATCTAGAGCGTCCTAAATGCACATCAATTCCACATGATTCAATGTACTCATAGCCACACAACGTAATAATGGTTTTATACTTAGGCAATGATAAGTTTTTATTATATCACTTATGAATGGAATTGCCCGTGCTGTAACTGCACAGGTACATGTACATATTATGTACACGATGCTCGCCCGCAGCCCAGTCATAATATGAGGCAAAGATAACTTCGCGCGTAATAGATCCTTGTGAAGTAAATTGAATATTCTATTTTTAAAAGAGTTGACTGTTTGCCAGCTACAGTAGCCTTCGCCGAGCACGACGTCGAATCAATACCTGGGTAGATTCTAACACGGTTCGGTTGTAGAACGGCACGCTTTTTTGTTACATAATTTATCAATCAACAAAACATGGTTGATGTGGACTAGAAGGCATCGACTTTAAAAAAAAAAGTGACTGGGCGTAACTTCAAAATCGCTTCGTGTGTTGGTGGTTTCTGAACCTCCGGCGACTGCGATTAGAGAGAAAAGACGGCGTGGTTTGTTTATGTAACTCGTTGTTACGTCGGTGTTGACGCATCGTTCTGGATTTGGTACTCAGCCAAAAGGGATTTAAAAATCGTGACTGGGAATAAATAGTGTTCTAGCAGCACGGGGTGATATCAATCGATACGTATTTTCAAATATCAGACAAGGAAATCGGCCCCCACATCGGATTGGTGAATGTCACGAATGATGCCAATAATAACTTTCACCTATTTATTGAGCAGTACGTGGATTTAATTAATTGGCAATTAAAACCCCGCGAGTATAAAATAGTGTAAAAAGTTGGAAATTATATTTCCTCTTTAAAAATATTTTATACTCAACAGCACAGGTTTAGAATGTAAAGATTTTCACTTATAGTCAAAATAAATGACTGCCGTCAAATATCGATATAAAAATACGCCTGGAATAAAATGTACTTTTAAGTACGGAAACGCTCTCTCCACCCCTCTATCTCATACAGTTTATTACATTTATCAGTAATTGTTAAGGACTCTGCGTAGAAGGACTTTATATATCCAAGCTACATGCATGCTGGTATAAAAAAAACTATAACTAATGACGTATTTTGATACATGTACGCCGAGTTTGAGCTAGGGCCATGTCTATACAATTGAAACTAAAAATAGCCAAAATCGCTGAAAGGGCAAATTGTCTAGTGCGCTACCGTTAACAAGAATAGACGCGTAACTGGCAACAATGAACATGAGTAAGAAATTGCAAATATAGATCATTTCCGTCATTTATTCACTGCCCAGGTCGACAACATGATGTGTAGCGGTACTAAACAGAAGAGCATTAAAAGGCGAATCTGTCTATGCGTGATTCAGGAAATACCCGGGAACGTTTCCAGGAGACGTGGCCAAGTTTTCCGTTTCTCGGAGAGTGCGAAAGATAAATGATGGAAGGGCATTGCCGGGTATTTGCCTAGAAAACCAAGTTCGCGGACATCACTAAGGCTTCAGACTGGCTTGCACTAACGAGCGACAAACAGAGGCGTTGATCAGTGCGTTATTTTACCGAGTAGTTTCCGTTACAGACTAAATCAATTTGTTGGATAAACAAATCAGTAATTAATCGTTCTAACTGTTTTCGCTAAAGATTCCCTATTTTTTAAGTGTGCTCTCGTCGTAAGTAATACATTTGGTGAGCAAATGCCACCTCCTTTTTTACCATCTGAAAATAATAACTCAGTTGCAAAAATAATACAAATAAATCTGTAAGTTGATTACCGAATTTATTCTAGGATCAGGGAGAAATTACAGGTTAAAAACGCCGAAGTAATTTACATACATGTAGATCTTTATAACATCTTCCCGGTAAAGGGTGCAGCCTCTTTCTTGTTGAGACTAACCTGTGACTTATCAATTGGACATTTCAAAAACGATGTATTTCGAATGCTTTTTGTTTTATTGATATTTGTTAATTTTTTTTCTGTTAACTGTATTTATGGCATATTTTCAACAGTTATCCGAACTAGTGTCCTTCAAATAGAGTTTGCCTCTTTTGAAAGCACTGTCCCATTGATCGATTGATTGATAACAAATTGCAGGGATTATGTTCATCATGTACATTTTGTAATTTGTTTTATAAATAAAATGTTAAAAGAAACCCGACTGAGGACAGAAAACGTATCAAAGAGACCTTTCAACAAGGAAAGTGTGTTGTTTTAAAGACATTTAGTCAATGGCAACAAAGCCACGTTGTTAAGGCCTTTTACTATATAACCACGACAGTTTCAACAAGTGCGCCGGTAAATATTGTACCCGCACGCACAGCACTATTGACCGATTTACATTTGAAAGATCTGCTTGAATGGAGCCTACTGTTGCCTGAAATAATCGAAGTTGCCATGACAATAATTAATA